GCACACACACTGCTGATGCATATATGTATCTGTATGTGTATAAATTTATACTATACATGCTGTATGAAAATCACCAATCATCATAAGTGAGGTGGGCTACTGTGCACCTTGCTTAGTATCTCCTATGTGCTGGTATCTAGGACAAAACAGGCATAAGATGTTTCTATCTCCAAGGAGTTTAGACATTGTGAAGACACCAAATATACATGGAACAAAGTGATAGTGTCCTGAGGCATGTTAGCTAATGAGGCCCATGTCCCAACACCCCTCACGAGCACAACACTTTTAAAAATACACTGTAAGGACCCTCTAATCCCTTCTCAGACCTCAGAGGAGCCTTGTAGGGCATTTAGGGGATCAAGAGTTGTAACATTTGTCAAAAGTGAGCTATTTAGTAGCAATCAGTTAATAATTTACCCTTCCACCCTGATTTCCCTTCTGTCACATTTTTCCTTGGACTTAGTGGTGTTTTGGAATACTTTTGAGATCTAGCTAAGATAAAGCTTATTTAGAATACATTTAGTTTGGGTTTGGTAGGATGTATTTATACACTTACAGTCATTTCTGTGTTCAGTTAAGTGGTCATCATACTAGTGTAGGAATGACTTCCAAGCATACCACCCACTGTGCCAACTCACCTGGAATCCTTAGTATGAACGGACAGGGTCAGAGGTAGCATTGGAGTGACCAATAGATTACTGAATGTGTAAACTGTAAAATAATATCATTAATATCACATACAAGCAAAATACTGTTGAAGATCATTCAGAAACAGCTAGACCAGTACATAGATAGGGAGCTGACAGAAGTTCAAGCAGGATTTAGAAGAGGTCATGGCACCAAGGTATATCACTGTTGGTGTCAGAGGGATCCTAGCTGAAAGTAAAGAATTGTTGCTATTGTGTACCGTCGAGTCAGAACCGACCCATAGCTGGCCCTCCAGGGGATTTTCAGAGGCAGTTTATCATAGGAGAGGAGATTGTCCATCTTTCTCCTGCAGAGCAGCTCGTGGACTTGAACTATGTGCCTTCGGGATTGCAGCTCAGCTTCTTACCACTAGGCCACCAGTGCTTCCTCAAAGTAGAGAATACCAGAAGAATATCTATTTATGCTTTATTGACTACGCAAAGGCATTTGACTGTGTGGATCATAACAAGCTATGGCTAACATTGAGAAAAATGGGAATCCCAGAGCACTTAATTGTGTCCATGTGAAACCTATATTTGAATCAAGAGGCTATTGTGTAAACAGAGCAAAGGAACACTACATGGTTTAAAATTAAGAAGGGATTGCATCAGGGTTGTATTCTCTCTTTATACCTATTCGATCTGTATGCTGAACAAATTTTTTGAGAAGTTGGACTCTATGAAGAAGAATGTGGCATCAACATCTGAGGAAGACTCATCAGTAACTAGTGTTGTGCAGGTGACACAACCTTGCTTGTTGAAAGTGAGGAGGACTTGAGGCACTTGTTGCAGAAGATCAAAGAATACAGCCTTCAATATGGATTGCATCTCAGTATCAAGAAAACAAAAATTCTTATAACAGGACCAATAGGCAATATCATGATTGATGGTGAAAAGATTGAAACTATCAACAATTTCATCTTACTTGGATCCACAGTCAACACCCTTGGTACCAGCAGAAAATCAGGGATGTATTTGCACTGGGAAAGTCTGTAGTTGCAGACCTCTCCAGAGTATTGAGGAGTGAAGAGCTGGACAGTGAATAAAGATGACAGAAGAACAATTGACGCCTTTGAGCTGTGGTGTTGGAGAGGAGCACTGAACATACCATGGACGACCAAAAGAACAAACAGGAATGTCTTGGAGAGAATGTAGCCAGAGTGCCTTTTGGAGGCAAAGATGATGCGGCTTCGCCTCACATGCATTGGGCATGTTGCTAGGAGGGGCTATTCCTCAGAGAGGGACGTGATGCTTGGAAAGGCAGAGGCCTGAAGAAGCAGAGGAAGACCCTCCCCCAGGTGGATTGACACAGTGACTGCCTCAGTGGGTTCTAGTGTGTCAGGAAGTATGAGGGACAGCAAACAGGATGATGGGACAGGATTCAGATCTGTTGTTCATAGGGTCACTATGGGCCGCATTTGACGAGATGGCACCTAACAACAACAATGACAGAAAGCTAGAAGGCTGAATTCAGGCTCCCTACTCCAGAGCTCTGGTGGCCAAGTGCTAAGAAGTTGTGCTGCCAGCCCTAAGGCACATGGTTCAAATCCACCAGCTGCTTTGTGGCAATAGGATGTGCAATTTCCTCTTGTGTCATTTAAAGCTTCTGAAAACCTGATGAGTTGATTCCAACTTGAAAGCACACAACAGTTATACTCCTATGTGCTTGTTGTTGATGCTATGTCAAGTACCACTGAGTTAGAATAGACTAAGAGCTGACCCTCCAGTGGGTTTTCAGAAGCTGTAAATCACAGCTTGTAAAACATGGGCGGAGACTGCTTCTCATTTTTCTGCAGAGCAGCTGCTATATACAGTCAAACCACTTGCCTTTGGGTTGGAAGCACAGCTCCTTATCCATTAGACCACCAGAGCTCCCTAGATATGTAAGGGCAGGTTAGTATAGAACGTGTACAGCATATGTTTTCACAACACGTCAT